GTGCTCTGCGGGTGCCCCCGGATTGAGGGGTGAGCCGCGGCCGCAGAGACCATCCAGACGTGTCAGCACCGCCCCTTCGCTGGCAGGAGGCCGGGGGGCGTCAGCAGGCAGCCAGCCTCCACCCAGACAGCCCATGGAGCCCTGGAGGGGGTGTTTCAAAGGACCCAGCAATAGGTCTTGGAGTCCGAATGGTCACAGTCAGTTGCTGTCACAACAGAGCGACTTCTGAGGGTCACCAGATAAGGGGACCCACAAACCAAACTAGCCTAAGGAAGAAGATGCTGCCCAAATGGCCTGGACCTGGCACTGCGTGGGAGCTGTCTTCTCTCCCAGCAAAGTAACTGCTGCCGGACTGACTTCAGTAAGGCCGGCGGGCCATCAGAAGCAATGGCGCCAGCCTCCATCCGCAGCCACGCCCCTAACACCTGGTGCTAGGTCTGTGGTTGCCTACATATGGATTATATACACATGTGAGTATACACACACACGTGCACTCACACACACAAACAACACACACAGGGATGATGTCATATAGAATTATTTTATGTATGCATATGTACACATGCAGGCATAAGTGTGATTTTAGATGGTTATATTTCTGTATTTTAATGGTCTTATAATTTGTAGGTAAATGTGTATCCATGTATTGTACGTTTCTGGTTGTGCACACATATGTAATATTTCTGTGTAACACATATGAGGGGGTATCCCCCAAAACCAGAATTATCTTCTGGAAGGCGGGTCCCTTGTAGTAAAGGCTTCTCCCACTTGGTGAGTGTTCTAGGAACACACCTGTATCAGTGTACCAGCTGGTGTTGTGGTAAGAGGCTGCATTCGGCTTCAGTGAATTTTTTTGAAGACTTTCAACACACTTGCCCGTTTCATGATGGGTGACTTACGCGCCCATCTGCCCACACTGTGTTGAGGGTTCAGCAGTTTTTGACGAAAAATAGCAGGACCCCCATGCCCGACCGGCCTATTCACCTGATCTCACACCAAGCAACTTTTTTGTGTTTGTTTCCCCGGATGAAAGAAAGTCCTCAAAAGGCAATGTTTTGCTGATGTGGAAGAGGTAAAACAAAGAAAGGCAGAGGCACTAAAAGGCATCAAAATCGACGAGTTCAGAAACTGTTTTGAGCAGTGGAAAAACGTCTCAATGGGTGTATTGCATCAGACGGAGAGCACTTTGAACAGAATGGAGTTTAAACATATGAGAGTAAATACACAATTTTTTGTGCATTCCAGTTGGGGGGGTCTCCCTTCGTATGTGCACACGCGCACACACACACATAGACACACAGGACATTTCTGGAAGGAAATGGGAGCTTCCGTGGTGGTTACCCTGGAAGAGTAGGGATGGGTTTTGGGGGTGGAGCAGGGAAGGATACATTTGTATTTCATTGTATGGTCTTTCTTTCACTGTGTACTTACTACTTTTAGAACAACAGAAACATTTTTACTAACGTTTTTGCTTATACTGAAGACGCCCTCAGCTGTCTCCACCCCTGCCCGCCCCCCCCAAGGTGAGCTCCAAGGGCACGTGGCGTCAGAAGCCCCTGCTCCAGGCTCGGCCCTGCCGGGCTCCTCACCTTCGATGATTTAAGCTGCCGTGCTTTTTCCCTACATCTGCTAACCTGAGAAAACTACCCCAAGTGCAGATCAAATGAGAAGACACATGTGACATAGTGGCAGCACTTTGCAAACTGTCAGCATCTCCATGCAGGTCCTGAGAGCCAGGTGGTCAAAGAGTGCCCGGGGCTGTCCCCTGGACTGGTGTCACCCCGGGGCCTGGTGCTCTTCACGGGCCCTTTTCCGAAAAGGGGGGTGGGCTGTGGCCTGGCGACCGGGAAGGTGGTGGGAGCAGGAAGCAGAGAGACGAGAGGAGCGGGGACGGTGCCGGCCAAGGGAGCAGAGGGTGGGCGGGAGGCATCGGTATCAGGGGTGCCCTCTGCCCCGAGGCCTGAGCTGCTGTCACTCACCCCTGTCCCCCACCGTGGGTGAAGACCTTGGCTGGGATGAGGCGGATCGTTCTAGAGAGTTTCATGAGAATATAGTGAATTCAAGTCTCTTTGTCCGAACACTGAGCCACCTTCCACTGCCACCTGCCACAGTCCTTCGCTGACTCCCTTGAATTCTCGTTTTGCTATTAATTTGACCAACGAGTGCTGAGTGTCTCCTGTGTGCCAGGACGTGCTCAGTCCTGGGGAGACAGGATGACGGTAGCATCTCGGTGCCGGGTCACGCCCGGGTGCCAGTGGGTAAGGACGTGGGAGGAACCACTGCAATGCCACGAGCGCACCGTGGGGATGGGGCCTGACTCCACGCAGGGAGGAGACAGTGAAGAGTGGGTAGGAATTCGCCAGGCAGAGGGCTTGTCAGCAGAGAGGCTGGGCCGTGCGTGCCAGAGCCAGAGGGAAGTGAGGCTCGGATGTGGCTCACACGCAGAGTGAGGGCAAAGGGTCGGGCTGGGCGGGGTGCGGTTGTCGATGACATTCTGCGCCGTGCGGAGGAGCTTGACCTCTGCCCAGTGGGCAGCAAGGGTTGTGGACGGCGAGAGTCTGCGCATTTCCTGTACACCTCCTATGAAGGAGAACTTCCATATTTGCACAGTTATTTTCCTTTAGCAGACTGATAATTTACTCAGAATAAGGACCTTTTCAAATACTTATTTCTGTCTACTTCTCTCCAGTAACTGATTAAAGCACAACAGGAATCCCAAACCTGTCTGGGAATCGGAACCCCAGTCCGAGCCCGGGCCAGCATCAGATCTGTTGGCTGGAGCGTCACCCTGGAACGGAAAGGTTGCGGGTTCAGCTCCCGGTCCAGGCACTTACGATCCCTAGGCCAGGCCTTTACTGGGGTCGGCCAATCGATGCTTCTCTCTCATAGCAATGTTCTTCTCTCTCCCTTCCTCTCTCTCTAAAAAGGAATTTAAAAAAATGTCTTTGGGTGAGAATTTTTAAAAATCCCCAGTTTGATGAGTAGATGAAAGCTAATATTTTTCTTCCACAAAAATGCAGATACAAAAAAATTGCGTATGATTCTAGGAAGTTCAAGGAACTCCTTTAAAAATTCCTAAGTTCAAGGGTTGTATACACAATCAAATTACACTTTTGTTTTGACAGGGCTTTTAAAATTTTTTTTTTTATCAAAGAAATTATTTGCAGAGTCTTAGGTACTTACCAAAAACCTCATATTGAATTCAAAAGAATGAATTCAAAATCTGATTTCAGTGATAAAGTCTGAGGTCCTCTCCCAAATGCAGAGTGGAGTGTCAATTTTTTTGCATGTCCTCCTGATTAAAAGAACTCTAACTCATATTTTCTTAATATGGAGAGGGACTTAAGGGATTTTAGGATACCCAAGCAGGAACGAGAAAGCAGTCTTTTAAAATAAAGTGAAATCAACAACTCTCTCGGGTGTCCAATAGTCCATCGCCTTTCCTTCCTTCGCCCTGGAAGGCCGGGGCGAGTCTGGGACCCTGGGCCGCCTGTCAGAACACAGTGGGACTCCTCTGGGAGACTGCAGCCCCTTTGGCACAGGGCCCTCGGCTGCATCCTACGGGGAAGGGCCCCTGGGCTTTCCTGCTTGGTACCTGCAGAGAGACCTGGGGTTCAAGTGGGTGGGGGCTGCTGTGCTGGAACTTTCTGTGGCAGGAGTACAAAGAATGAGAGTCACTGTGTGCCTTCTAAAAACCCAAGTAGGGTATTGGGAGGGGGGCTGAGACAATAAAGCCTGGTTTTATTGAAAAATACAACGATTTTGTAAAACTCGCATTGTCCTGCTGACACGGGAAGAGCCCGACCTGGTGACTTGATCTTGAGGTTTGGCAGCGGGTTGGGGTTAGAAAGCTGGAGGAGTGAGAAAAGCACTTGCGAAGAACGCATGGGTGGGGGAGGACAGGCGGGTGAGGGGAGCCCTGGCCGCTCCCCCCACTGAAGTCCCCGCGGGGACAGGTCTGCTCGGGAGGCTGTGCCAGTGGAGGACACTGGCGGAGAAGCCTGAGCTAGCCCTCGAGGGCTGCCCTTGGCACTCAGTCCACACGGAGCCTTCAGAAGTTCCTGTGGGCAGAGGCAGGGCTGTGGAAGGAGGCGCTGGTGCCGGCTGCCCAGCTGGGCAGAGCCCCCCCCGGCGAGAGCAGAGCGAGCTCTGCAACCAGGCTGCAGCCAGCCTTCAGGGCCGGGCTCCCAGGAGGAAGCCCTGGTCTCAGGCCGTGCTGGCAGGACGCGGGCCAGTCCCAGCAGCCTCGGACTTCAGAAGCCGAGCACCCGATCTCAGATAACACCAGCCGGTGCGTGGCCGGGGAGGCCCCAAAGAGCGTAGGAAGGCCCCTCACACACCCAGCTGCTACCCGAAAGGAAAGAAAGAGCTCTGAAAGTCTGAGCATTCACGAAGGACTGAATCACCCAGAAGAAACCATTGAAATCACTCCCACTTGATGGTATCGTACTGCATTTCACTAGATTGGAACTGAGACCCAAAGGGGACTGTTGAGATCACGTTCATGTCGGTGTGTCTGAACGTCCCTCCTCCGACAAGACGGGGCTCACCAGGAGGGCGAGGCAGCCACAGGGAAACGAGGGGGCTCCTTTTCTCTGCACGTGAAGTGTGCTGTGAGGGGTTCAGAACGCAGCCGCACGGTTCCAGCACACATTCGGGGTGGTCTCTGGCTTGTCCCGTCTTTGAAAAATGACAGGAAGAGTCCAGATTTTAATTAGCAGTCTCACAATTTCAAATGCACTGGGCAAACATTATTGCATGTGCTTAATGAATTATTGACTTCTCTGTTACGAGACCCTATCTTTCGTGCATGCGTGTGTGCTGCCTACATGTATGTATCTTAATAATTCTGTATTTCTTTTTTTTGTTACATTTCCTGTGTGCCGAGCTGGGGTATTTATTCTTCTGAATGATGCAATGGGTTAACGAGATAATGGGAAGGAAATCTTTCAAGGTACAAGGACCTTGACACTACAATTTGTTTCGATTTGATTAAACAGATGGAATTCCACGCAAGCGGAAAGTTGTGCAGGCGGCCCCTTAGCATCCGCACCGGCGGAGAGCACCTCGCGGGAGAGCACCTCGCGGGTAAGTCGCCGCGGCAGCGGGGGGCGCCGCCCGGCTTCTTGCGCCCCACCTCTGCCATCGGCCCTGCGGCTCTGAGCCCTCCCGTTCGAAATTCAGGTTTCGTGACGCTCAGAAAAATGTGATGTTTTTGCTTGTGAAAAGCTAGGGCTCCTAACCATCAGAGGAGGGAGTGGGTGACTGCCTGGAACCCACTCATACATTCCTTGAACGCTTCTCTCAAAAAGGCCCCCTTTGATGAGCGCACAGAGGAAGCGCTGGGAGCTGTGGCGAAGGTGGGAGTTTTATTCTGAATAAAGGCTGCTGAAATTCACGATAAGGAGTATTCTTCCTTTTGTCTACTGATGTTATGGAGATGTCAAAAATCAGCCCAAATTTGAAGTGTGATATTTTGGAAAGTTTGGTGTGACCTAATTTTGATTAACTGGAAATATTTCTAATTAAAGGTGAACGTACTTGAAGTGACAGATTGCGTAAAGAACACTTTCTTTCCCACTAATTCTGTAGTGATGAAACAAGAATTAGTGAGAATGATACGAAGATCCCAATTGAACTTTCTTCTTTAGTTTCAAAAAGCATGTAAATCTTGTCACTTTAACAAGAATCCTCTTTTCTGCCTAGTTGTGTTTTTATGGCTTACAGAGTTGGGGGAGTCAGTACCACAGTTAATATTTTGACATCCTATTAAGCTTAGAGATGCTATTTTAAACAGAGAAACATGTCCGATTTAAAGCAGAGGAGATGGGCTTAACGTTGGTGGGCGCCTGCGTGTGGAGTGAGGGGGAGCGGCGGGAGGGGAGCCCGGGTCTCAGGGGAGTTCGGCAGGGGCGCCAGGAGTTCCGCCTTCAGGCCCGTGACACATCGTGGTGCTCCCAGCTGCCTGTGTGTCTGCTGTGTAGTGGCACGAGCAGTGTGTGGCCAGAGGCAGTGCAGACTGTCTGATGAGGAGCCCTCCAGCGTGGCCGGCCTCGCTCAGTGCAGCTGGCCGCCCCATCCCGCAGACAAGGCCCCGGGGAACCATTGCAGGGAGCCAGGCGTGCGCCCCAGCTCCGCCTGGGACTCCGTGCCAGCGTCCCAGGGACGTGGGCGGGGGTCCGCCGGCTGGGGATCTCACTGAGCTTTCTGCCCATCTCCTGCATCGCACGGGAGGAAGGGCTCGGCCTTAGGAGACTGTTAGGAGTATTAGGCAAGGTCAGATGGGTAACGTGCTGCGCTCACTGCCTGGATTGCGCCGGGATTCTGAGACCCCTTCCTGTGATGTCTTATGTGCACGGGTGAGCGCATACGCACTGACACGCTCCTGGGCTGGTCACAGGTGCCCATGTTCACCCTTGGGCTCACACACAGGGTGCACGTGGACTACTGGGTGATGCGACGGGGAGGGGGTCCTTAGTTCAGACCCCCACCTCGCTGCTCTGGGAGCCTCCCTCCTCAGGCTGCCCCGCCCCGCCCACAGGTGTAGTTCACTTAATGCGAGCTCCAAGAAGGCGCAGGATCTCTGCTCATCCAGAGAAAACCAAGTGCTTTAAATAGCTTCAAGAATAATTCGGAAATAAGCCTTAGAGGGCCTTCTCTGCCAGACACTTTAATTTCCCCACGCGTTCTCCAACTCCATGATGACAATGGTAGCAGTAAGCATAGTGACAACTGTCATCTGAAGACACAGTCCCCAAGCACTCAGTGCTAAGTCCTTTGCTACGCTATCCTTTCTGCAATGCAGAGACATGCGAGTTTTGCCGACAACTGGTTTCCTTGATATCGAGGATTGCCCCTCCCGAGACAGCATTCCTGGAATATCGGGGCTCCCTCTGAAGCCGGCCTCCCGGATGTTCTAGTTCTGCCAGCCAGGGGCCCCTCCCTCGAAGGCATCCCTCTGCCACCTGCCATCCGCAAGAACACCGACCCCAGGCCACGTGGCCTCGTCCAGTGGTGACTGATTCCGGGCCCACGTCGTATGGCGCACCTCCCACACCCCGCCCCCAGCCCGGGGTGCAGGGAAAGCTGCGCTGGCCCAGTTACAGCCCTTCCCACTGGCCCAGAGGGGTCCTTCGCTCTTCGTGCGGCCTGTTCTTAGCGCGAGCCTGGCCGAGGCCCTGGAGGGTCTTCCGACTCGCGCACCGCCTCCGTGGGCACTGGCCCCGCACAGGACGCCATTGGTCCCACCTCCCCCCGGTGGCGTCTGCGTGTGCCAGGGGTGTTCCCCAGGCGCGGCAGGGACTTGTGAAACACGCAACACCCCGCGGACTGTTTAGTCAGGGGCAGGGGCCTTGTAGCTTGTCCAGAAAAAAAAAAGTGACCACAGCCAATACAACAACAGCTGTCCACTGCGAATGAATCAAAGTTACACCTATTTTTTGTCAGATCGGCAAAAATGTACTTTTTGGGTGTGCCACAGAATTTCAGTGATGAGTTTGTGTGCGCCCTGAGATGACAGAGGCTGGAAATCGCTGGTGTGCACGAACCCCACTCCGGACCACACCAGTCACAGCAGATAATCTGTCTCTCTCAGTGCTCAGAATAGCGTTCCCAGACTATGGATAAGGCCGTGCCCAAGGCTCAGGGACATCGGCTGGGTCTGTCCACAGGGACCCCGGTGGTGACAGCTGGGACGAGAGCCGAGGTCTTCTGCTTTCCAGTTCAGGACTTTTTACTCTGTGCGACTCTGCTTCCTGACCGTGACAACAACTGGCATGTTTTCGGGAATGTCAGTAATCAGACAGTGTCCTCTTGTATCTCATTCAAGTGCTCAGCTCTGTGGAGAGTGGCGGTCCTCTCGCGATGCGCGGCAGTGTCTGTGCACGGCCACGCTGGGCCGGTCCGTCAGGCGTGGAACGCCGAGGAACACTCAGTACACCCTGACAGAGTGATTCACTGCCGTTACTGAGAAAATGAGCTGTGGGCATGATTCAGTGTAGAAAGTTCAAACGAGACCTTGAAATAGACAATGTACGAATCATAAATAATTTTTTTTTAAAAAAAGAGAGAGCGAGAAAAGAAAAAAAACCCTTTGTGGTTGCTTTTCTTACAACTAAATATCATTTTACTAGAAAAGGGCTTGGCCAACTTATTGATTCATCCTGGACGGATGCTTTTTCTTATTTTAGACGTTTAAAAAAGACTTCGTGTTCATTTTAATAATTTCATTTCCTTTTCTTCTTAACCTCATTCTTTTTCTCCTTCTTTCCGTTCTTCTCTTCCCCTTCCTTCTCCTCTGCTGCCTCCTTCTTTTATTATATTTTTTATTTTTGGAGAGTATTAAAACTAGCTCATACAAAGGAACCACACATTGTACTACAAAATTAATAACTGTCAGAATGAATCTTATGTTTGGCTTCATCTGTCCTTTTCCCTTGGCTATCGACAACACCCACGATCTTTCTCCAAGGGGGGCGGAGGTGGACTAGAACGGCCTGCCCGCCAAGGTACGCAGGACATGCGCCAGGGAAGAGACACCATGAACTCACTCTTCGGGGAAATTTCCAGACTTGTGTCGACTAGGGTATTGATCAGAATCCCCTAGACAATTGGAACCAGCAGGACACATACGTGTTTAAAGAAAGAGAGGGATTTATTGTAAGGCCTCGGCTTGCACGGTTGTGGAGGCTGGCAAGCCCCACAGCTGCAGGGCAGACAGAGGACGAAGGTAGAGACACGGGAGAGTCAGTGTCACGGTTCGGGCCCAAAGGTGACAGGCACGCAGGACTCCCTCTCCTTCGGGCCGAGCTGTCCATGAAAGCCTTCGACTGCTGGGATGGGGGACCCCCCCCCCCCGTGTTACAGAGTGCCAGGAACCTGCTTTTCTCAGTGTCTGATGACTCACCTGTCACTGTCCTCTAAAAATACTTTCACAGAAACACCTAGAACAGTGTGTGGCTAAATTTCTGGGTACCGTGACTTAGCCAAATTGACACATGCAGTTAACCATCCCCGAAGGCCAGATGCTCCCGGTGGAGAGATCGCCGCCCGAGCCCCGTTTTCAGCCTCATCGGAAGAAGTGGAGTCGTCCCCTACCCACCGTGTCAGCCACACTCCCCCTCTCCCCCTGGCCTAGCCGGACACTCTCAGGTTTTACGAACCCAAACCCGGCTCCCTGCATTGATGGGGACGTAGAGAGGGAATCGTTGCCTCGACTCTACCGGTGGTGTTAAAAACCAATCGCAAGTTTGCTGGCTGACAGATCTGGTAAAAGTCTTTCCTCCGAGTTCTGAGGACTTCACAGCTCCGCCCCTGCAGCCCCAGCAGACAGTGGACCGGACACACCCATGGGGTTGCTAGAGAGTCTTACCATCAAACTGTTTGTTACAAGAGCAGTCCTCTGTTGCTGCCTTTAAGCTTTAAGCTTCTAGTGCTGACTCATTCCTCACTCGGCCCCCCATTCTGTCGGAGGTGCGGGAGTGGCCCCGCTGGGTCGGACGTGGGGAAAGCAGACCCCCACCTCCCCACAGTCCCAAGCCTCACCGCTCCCCAGCTCCCACCTGAAGGGCCGCGGAGCCTCGTCACTCTTACCCTGACTCCTCCTCCAGGACCATCTCCCCAACCCCTGGGATTTATTCTCATGGGGTAGACGCGCCCCCCACCCCCCTGGAAGCAGTTGCTGTGGCCACAGAGGAGTCGGTGCACTGCCTGGCCGAGCTGGGGTCCCGGGCTGTCCTCCTGGTGTCGGACACAGGACCCGGCAAACACATGGACTGATGTCAAGGGAAGTGGATATGCCCGAAAGAAACCGTGGATTGTTTGTTTGTTTGTTTGTTTTGTTTTTTAAGTCAAGGAAGAAGCAAGGGAAGATAGGGAACAGAGGCCGGAGTCTGAAAACACCATGGGCTTTTACGAATTATGAGTAGACTATTTTTATTTCAGTGCATATCCGTCTTAATAATGAGTTGTACATAAGTCTAAAAGGGCAGAATAAACCCACTTTTAGTGCTCTAGCCCCGCGACACCAGTAGGCATCCGTTGCCCCACAGATGTCAGGAGCCGTGTGTGTGTTTGAGGTGGGGGGTTAT